CATGTCAATATAATACTTTACTTTGTCTTCTTGAGCTGCTCTTTGAAATCTTCTGTTCAGCTCTTTTACTTCATCATTTCTTCCTTTTGCTTTAGCTACTCAGCGTTCAAGAGCAAGTTTCAGAGTCTCTTCTGACATCTGTTTTGGTCTTTTCTTTCTTTCCTGCCTTTTAATGACCTCTTGCTTTCTTCATGTATGATGTCCTTGATGTCATCCAGAACTCATCTGGTCTTCAGTCATTAGTATTCAATACATCAAATCTATTTTTGAGATGGTCTCTAAATTCAGGTGGGATATACTCAAGGTTGTATTTTGGTTCTTGTGAACTTGTTTTCGTTTTTATCAGCTTCTACTTGAATTTGCATATGAGCAATTGGTGGTCTGTTCTGCAGTCAGCCCCTGGCCTTGTTCTGACCAATGATATTGAGCTGTTCCATCATCTCTCTCCACAGACGTAGTGGATTTCATTCCTGTGTATTCCATGTGGCAAAGTCCAAGTGTATAGTTGCCGTTTACATTGTAGAAAAAAGGTATTTGCAATGAAGAAGTCGCTGGTCTTGCAAAATTCTATCATGCAACCTCCAGTGTCATTTCTATCAACAAGGCCAGATTTTCCAACTACTGATCCTTCGTCTTTGTTTCCAACTTTCCTATTCTAATCACCAGTATTTATCAGTGCCTCTTGATTGCACGTTTGATCAATTTCAGACTGGAGAAGTTGGTAAAAATCTTCAGTTTCTTCATCTTTGGCATTAGTGGTTGCTGAATAAATTTGAATAATAATGGTAGTAACTGGTCTTCCTTGTAGGCGTATGTATATTATCCTAACACTGACAGCATTGTACTTCAGAACAGATCTTGAAATGTTCTTTTTGATGATGAATACAAAGCCATTACTCTTCAGTTTGTCATTCCCGGATAGGTGGATATTATTCCAGCTGAGAGTTCAGAGTGGTAGAAACTCTGAGAGGTTCGTGATATAAAGTAAGTTCATGAGCAGAGTTTTCTCCCCAATACCAACTGGTGATATAATCAGCTGCTCTGATGAGAAAGTGTTTTGTCAAACACTCTGTTGAGTCATAGTGAAGAGTATGAATGATATCACCTAAAACGATAACATTGGTTGTGCTTCATTTCTCTTCCACAACTGGCCCTGTCATCACCATTAGCATGGCCTTTCTTTCTCTTCCGATGTTATTCAGAATGTATGCCTCATCCCACTTTTGGACTCTCCCTGTTCCTTCCTTGTTCCTGTTGGTAACTTGCCATTTCTACCTTACCAATATTATTTTTTCCTTTCTACCAAGTATTATAAAGTGAGGCCAAGGAAAGATGTTACTATGCATTAGCCTATCTCTTTAGTAAGGAAATCCTGCCATTATTTATTTTTAATGAAACACAAGGTGTCTCAGAAGTCCTCAGAAGGGAGATGTGCCAAATGCTAAATCAAGAGGGACAATCACCAGTTGTTCAATAGATTCAGATTCCTTAAGGAGTAAAGTGGGAGAAATACTTTGAAAAGTATTCTTTGCTTAAGTTTTTGACAGAGTTGATAGCATTGAGAAATAGTCAAATTCAACTTGTTGGATAGTTTCAGGAGAAAAATGAAAATTTTGATTACATATTGATTTTTCTCAGGGTGAAAAGAATGAGGTAGCTTCTCCTTGTTTTGTTGATGAAACAATTTTCTTATCCAGTCTACCCATAGACAGGTTTCTATCTCTTGATTGCTAGCCTAATTATATTAAATGGTTGACTTGGTAGAAATATTTGCAGAGAAGGGGTATACTTGAAAGCTATCAGAAATAATTTGGATAAGCCTCTCTCCATTTTCTTTCTCAAATAAGGGAAATAGTCATAAGAATAGTTTGAGCCATCACTGAACATACATCATTTCTTGGTCAGAGAATGTATAATCTGATCTGAGAATCTGAATTGCCCACAAATATTTTACTCATCTACTTGGAAAACTTGGTTCCCCTCAAAGCAGAGCCTGAGGCAAAAGCTCATGTGATAATACCTTATTAGGGAGTGTAATCCCAAGGAAACAGGAGTGAGGGAACAGAAGAGTGGGGGAAGGAAGTTGGGAGAGCCAGTACAAAGGTGCCTTACCAAGACAGATCTTTCAGTTTTGCTCCTGCCAGGCCTCTGCAAAACCAACCAAGATACTCCCTCCCTGCCCCAGAATCCCTGTATATCCATACCTCAGTACATTTCTCCCTCCATAATAACTGAATGACCATTTTTATTACCTACAGAGAGGATTTCTCTTCATGACTGTCCTTCCACTCCTGAGTAGTGCTGTAATGCAGTGGCAGTCCATTTTCCACTAGCACTAATACATTGTGTGAAATAATGTGTAAACTGGGCCTAAGTTATCTCTTCCCCTATCACTTGGTCATAGAAGACCACAGTTCCCTGGGGCCCAAGACATAAGCTGAGGTAGTGCATTGGTGCAACAGATACAGATGACCTGAAAATCCGAGCTATAGGTGCTTGCAATTTATTCATGCCTTTCTGGACATGTTCAGGCTGAATCCCAAATGTTTCATTTATATCATAAGTCTGCTGATACATCCACACAAACTTATCAGTCAGTGTATCTGATAATACCATGACAGGTAACTCCAGTTGTAGTCACCTTATGTGATGGTTAATTTTATGTGTCAACTTGGCTAGGCTATGATGTCCAGTTGTTTGGTCAAACATTAGTCTAGATGTTTCTATGAAGGTATTTTGTAGATGTGATTAACATTTACAATCAGTTAATTCTAAGTAAAGGAGATTATCCTTGACAAAATGGATGGGCCTCATCCAATTGGTCAAAGGCTTTAAGAGCAAAAACTGTGGTTTCCCAGAGAGAAGCCGTTCTGCCTTAAGACTATAACACAGATATCCTGCCAGAGTTTTCAGTCTGCCACCTGACCTACAGATTAGACTCACCAGCCTCCACAATCTCTTGAGCCACTTCCTTAAAATTTCTGTCTCTTGTCTCTGTCTCTGTCTCTGTCTCTGTCTCTCTCTCTCTCTCTATATATATATATATATATATGTTGTTTTTATGTGCCATTGAGTCGATTCCTACTCATAGCAACCCTATATGACAGAGTAGAGCGGCCCCCGTAGAGTTTCCTAGGCTATAATCTTTACAGGAACAGATCACCAGGTCTTTTCTCTTGCAGAGCAGCTGGTGGATTCAAACAGCTGGCCTTTCTGTTAACAGCCAAATGCTTAACCACTGCACTGCCAGGACTGGTTTATATTTATATATATATATATATATATACACATACATATACATGTACGTACATATATACACACATACATATGTAAGTATATGTATGTGTGTGTGTATATATATATATATGGTGTTATATATACAGAAGCTGCAACAATGGCCTCAAATACAGCAACAATTATAAGGATGGTGCAGGACCAGGCAGTATTTCATTCTGTTGTACATAGGGTTGCTATGAGTCGAAACCTACTCGACAGCACCTAACAACAACAATGTATATATGGCCTATTGGTTCTTTTTCTCTGGAAAACCCTAACTAATACAACCGATGTCCCATGGTCCGGCACACAGTTTCTACTAAAATCTGCTAAAATATCAGAAGCCAATTTTTATATGAGACTACTCTTGTCATTCCCAGTTCTTGAACCTCTTAAGTTCTGTTGGCTCTGTCTATTTTAAAGCCTGGTCCTCCAGTCTTTCTAACAAACAATGAATACCCATATCCTTCCAGCAAATTATCTTTACTTAAGTTAAGGAGACGCTGCTTTTGTTCTTACAATCAAAGACTCCTGATTCATAAAAATGGTGTACTGGTCAGGCAGTTTAGAAGGCAGTTAGCTCCTCCATTCGTGCAAATATTGAATTATGATTTTGCATAGCATATGTTATTATCAGGACATTCAATGTATGTTTATCCACTAGAACAAAACGTAAGAAATTGCTTCAGTTTTCGAACATGCTCAAGGAAAACATTTAGGACTCTCATTACCATAGTACAGCAAAGTAAAACACCACAGCACAGTTTACATGTAGTTTGATCCTATGCTTCATTCTTTGGTTATTTCACAACCAATTCATGTAACTGTTCAACAGTATGCATTTAAAGAGCATAACGGTAAAACCACATATCTCGTTCCAGAAATTATGCCAGCTTGCATTTGAATTATTGTGCAGGCAAATATTGAAAATACCATGGACTACCAGAAGAATGTACAAATCTGTCTTGGAATAAATACAGCCAGAATGCTTCTTAGAAGCAAGGATGGTGAGACTTTGTCTCACAAACTTTGGACATGTTATCAGGAGGGATCTGTCGCTGGAGAAGGACATCATGCTTGGTAGAGGGTCAGCAAAAAAGAGGAAGATCCTCAGTGAGATGGATTGACAGAGTGGTTGCAACATTGGGCTCAAACGTAGCAACAGCAGTTGTGAAAATGGTGCAGGATTGGGCAACATTTCATTCTGTTTTGCATAAAGTTGCTATGAGTCAGACCCAACTGGAGAGCACCTAACAACAATAGAAAAGGAAAATCAACTGCAGTGATTTTGATGGCTTTTCTAAGAATTATATTTTCTGTACCTATCTAGGAGATTAGTTTAGGACATTATAAATGAGGAAATATCAACATCATTCTTAGGCACGTTTTTCCACAAAAACTATTTCCTAGAAATTGGTCATAGAGACAGCCAAGTGGCTAGAGAACAGAGATGAGAAGACTTTTCACTGCATTCTCTTTTGAACTTTCAGAATTTTACATTAAGTGAACTAGTATCTACAAAAAAATAAAATAAATTAAAAATCAAACTCCTAAGAAGGAAAGTAAATCATCCAGTACTCTATGTTTGAATGTATTGACTTATTTTAAGATGATGAAATAGTAAGCAATCACTAACAATTATATCTTTAGGCAATACTAAACAATAATGTTCAGGGATGCACACAGAATGATAAAAACATAAAGAAAAGTAAGGAAATACTTACCATAAAAGTCATGAAGGCAGTCAATTTTGGGGAAGAGGAGCAGGCTTATGTTAGGAGTGTGCTTCTGGGGTGACTGGCAAGCCTCTATCTTCTAAGAGAGGGAGTGGTTTTAAGAGAGTTCACCTTATGCTAATTCATTTATGCAGTTTTCTGTATTTGTGTTACATTTTAAAATATAAAAAGTTTTTAAGAGAGGGAAATATAGTTTTAAAAAAAATTAATGGAACAGGAAAATACAATATAATATTAAGTGAAATAAAAGAGAACACAAACTCTATACGCAATATGGTCTCAATTGTCTGTATGCAGATTGCATATTTGTAGAAATAGAAACTAAAATAAACATACAAAATGTTAATCATACCTTTTTTTAAAATAATATTTTATTGTGTTTAAGGTGAAAGTTTTCACAGCAAATTAGGCTCCCATTTAACAATTTCTACACAAATTATTCAGTGATATTGGTTACATTTTTCACAATGTGTCATCATTCTCATTCATTCCTGTACCTATGTTTTAGGGTTTTAAAATTTACTATATATTACTGCTATGATTTTTTCAGTGTACAATATAATAATTTATAAGATGAAATTTTCTTATAAAGGATAAAATGATAAGCCTAACTTGTACGGTAAGTATAAACTTAGGCATTTAATATATTATAATCATAAAATTTTACAGCTAGAGGAAATCATAAGACGTCATCTGATGATCACCTCTGTTTTACAGACACAGACACAAAGCAGCCGATAGGTTAAGTGATTTGGTCAAGGTTCAGGATTAGTTAGGTGCAGACCTGGAACATGTCACTGTTCTCCCAACTCAGCACATGGATCTACCCTCTCTCCCGCACTGATGCATGCCTCGTATGGAATGAGCACTCAAAGCCCTTTTCCTTAAAGAAAGTTTAAATTACTTCTCAAAACATAAGTATGTAAGAATTACAATTATGCAATATCACCAATGAAATGTAAATTGGTAATAAAATAACAATAAGGCCTCTGTTAAAAATTAATATTGGAACAAATTCACTTTTGAAATTTTTAAAGAAACAAGCAAATATCAAGAACAACAAAAAAATCCTTGAGCTCCTAAAATAGCTGCTTGGAATCACTCATTTAACATAGTAAAGGTAACTAGCGACTGCAGTAAAGTCCGTCGTTGCCATTTTCAACACTATAAAAATGATATAATGTATGAGGCAACTGTTATAAATCATGCTTGTTTTGACAGGCTGTTTCTGAGTTCCACCTCATTTGCACTTTAGCCCCACTTCTGTGCCATGTAGACCAAAGCAATCTGGATAAACACCACATGATCCTAATTGTACTCTCCCAGAGAGAGAAAAAAAATAACAAGTAATAGACAAACTACTCCTCCTAAAAAGTTCTAGTCGCCACCTAATTTGTTTTTGTCATTTCTGTCATTTCTAAAATGAGTTTTTTTGACACCTTAAATTTTAATTTCTCAATATGCAATATTTGAAATTTTCTCTCCACATCTTATTCCCTGAAAGAGGATCTCCAATCTTCAAGCACACAAAGTATTAAGCACCTACTATGTGCCAAGCCCACCACCCATTTGTCAGTTTGTCATACTATGGTGGCTTTCCAGTTGCTGTGATGTTGGAAGCTATGCCACCGATACTTCAAATACCAGCAGGGTCACCCATGGTGGACAGGTTTCAGCAGAGCTTCCAGACTAAGACAGACTAGGAAGAAGTACCTGGCAATCTACTTCTAAAAAATGGCCAGTGAAAACCTTATAAATAGCAGCAGAACATTGTATGGTGTAGTGCCAGAAGATAAGCCCCTCAGGTTGGAAGTCACTCAAAAATACACCAGGGGAAGAGCTGCCTCCTCAAAGTAGATTCAGCTTTAATGATGTGGAAAGAGTAAAGATTTCAGGACTTTCATTTGCTGATGAGGCATAACTCAACATGAGAAGAAACAACTGCAAACATCCATTAATAATCAGAACGTGGAATGTACAAAGTATGAATCTAGGAAAATTGGAAGTTGTCAAAAATGAAATGCTTGAAGATCAATATCTTAGACATTAGTGAGCTGAAATGGACTGGTATTGGCCATTTTGAATCAGACAATCATATAGTCTACTATGCCAGGAATGACAAATTGAAGAGGAACAACATTGCATTCATTGTCAAAAAGAGCATTTCAAGATCTGTCCTGAAGTACAATGCTGTCAGTGACAACATCCAGACACCTACAAGGAACACCACTTAATACCACTATTATTCAAATTTACACACCAACTGCTAATGCCAAAGATGAAGAAACCGAAGAATTTACCAACTTCTGCTATCTGAAGTTGATCAAACATGCAATCAAGATGCATTGATAATTACTGGTGATTGGAATATGAAAGTTGAAAACAAAGAAAGATCGGTAGTTGGAAAATATGGCCTTGGTGGTAGAAACAATGTCGAAGAGCGCAAGATTTAATTTTGCAAGACCAACGACTTCTTCGTTGCAAATACTTTTTTTCCAACAACATAAATGGCAACTATACAAGTGGAGCTCACCAGATGGAATACACAGGAATCAAGCTGACCACATCTGTGGAAAAAGATGATGAAGAAGCTCAATGTCATCAGTCAGAACAAGGTCAGGAATTACCTACAGAACAAACCATCCATTGCTCATATGCAAATTCAAGTTGAAGCTGAAGAAAATTAAAACAAGTCACAAGTTCACGAGAGCCAAAGTACGACATTGAGTATATCCCATCTGAATTTAGAGACCATCGCAAGAATAGATTTGACGCATTGATCACTAGTGAACGAAGATCAGGTGAGTTGTGGAATGACATCAAGGACATCATACATGAAGAAACAAGAGGTCATTAAAAAGACAGGAAAGAAAGAAAAGACCAAAATGAATGTCAGACGAGACTCTGAAACTTGCTCTTGAACATAGAGTAGCTAAAGTGAATAGAAGAAATGATGAAGTAAAAAAGTTGAACAGAAGATTTCAAAGAGCAGCTCAAGAAGATGAATTATAGTATTATAATGAAATGTGCAAGAATCTGGAGTTAGAAAACCAAAGGGAAGAATAAGCTCAGCATTTCTCAAGCTGAAAGAACTGAAGAAAAAATTCAAGCCTCAAATTACAATATTAAAAGATTCTATGGGCAAAATATTGAATGCAGTAGGAAACATCAAAAGAAGATGGAAGGAATACGTAGAGTCACTGTACCAAAAAGAATTGGTCAGCATTCAACCGTTTCAGGAGGGAGCATATGATTGAGAACTGATGGTTCTGAAAGAAGTCCCAGCTTCACTGAAAGCCTTGGTGGAAAAAAAAAAAAAGCCTCCAGGAATTGACAGAATACCAATTGAGATGTCTCAACAAATGGATGCAAAGCTGGAAGTGCTCACTTGTCTATGCCAAAAAATTTGAAAGACAGCTACCTGGCAAACCAACTGGAAAAGATCCATGTTTGTGCCCATTCCAAAGAAAGGTGATCCAACATAATGTGGAAATTTTCAAACACTGTCATTAATATCACATGCAAGTAAAATTTTGCTGATGATAATTCAAAAACAGTTGCCGCAATCAGGGGCAGATTAACAAGTATGCAAGGCACACACAGGTTTACAGTAAGATAAGCAAGGCTTAATTGTGTTTACTTACTAAACTGTAGTGTATAATTTCACATGGGTTTCACCACATCTTTGCCTTTTTTTTTTCTGGTTTGAAAGCAGATGAGATGTTTAGAGCTATGGCAGCCATGCAATAATAAGATCACAAAAATAAAGACAAAAACCAGCATGTGATATACACAGAAAAGAAAGACCTTGGATCCTTGATGACATTTTAGAGGGACTTCATTATGGATTGCCTATATCTAAATCTGTGTTAGGAAAACATTAAATGTTCCTGTGATTTAAGCCATTTTTAATAGCTTATTCCTAATACAGATACATATCTGGCTTGTTTATCTCTATAGGCTTAGTGCCTAGAATAATATCTGGCATGTAGCAAGTAGACAAACAACATTTGTTGAAAGAGTGAATGGATTTTTAGATGAACTACTAAGCATCATACCTAGCCTTGTGAATGGTAAAGGTGTTTTATTTATTTTATATTAAATTTTTGAGTGTAATTTCTCTGAAAAAAAACATTGTATAATGCAAACTCTCCAGGACCAGAAAATCAATCTTTATTAGTCTAGACCAATCATGGTAGTCTCATAACCTTTGCACAATGAATGATTTATGCCTGGGCATGAAATGGCAGTTCTGGTCAATCAGGCCAACTCTGCTACATATTTTGGGAAAAGGTTCTCCTCACTAAGAAAAGGTGATGCATGGAAGAAAATGATCCTCTTCTCAGGTTTTCATGGGATGTCAGGATCAGTAGCCATCTTGCAACGAATAAGGGTGAAACTTGAGGACCAAGTCACACACTAAGAATGGGAGCATGGATAGATGGAAAAACTGGGGTCCTTAATGACATGGTTGAGCCAATCCAGGAGCCAATCTTCCTCTGGACTCCTTGTCATATGATATAATAGGTATCCTTACTGTTTCATCAGTTACAATTAGGTGTTCTATTACTTGCAGTCAAGAACATCATAAATGATATGTGAGTTTAAATGCTCTTTGAAATGTGTACAAATAAATAGTAATAAGTCCCAATCGACATATATTACCACCTGCAGATTAAGAGAAATATTCCTATCAGTATGAAGCTTAAAAAAAAATCATACAGTATAGTAAACATATTTCCTAATTTTGATTTTGGTGGATAAATCCAAAACCATAGAATAATAAGCTGTGTTTCAGAAAAAATTCTAATATGTTATATAATTATATTATATATAATACAGATTTTTGGGCAGAGCCCTGGTGGCACAGTGGTTAAGAGCTACGGCTGCTAACCAGAAGATTGGCAGTTTGAATCCACCAGCCTCTCCCTGGAAATCCTATGAGGCAGTTCTATTCTGTCCTTTAGGGTCACTATGAGTCAGAATCGACTCAACAGCAATGGAGTTTGTGTTTTTTTTTTTTTAAATCCACGACACTTATGTAAATTACAAACTCTGGGAAAGTAAAAAATCCCCATGCAATGATTTAGAATTTTCAAAGCCACTCTCTGGGAATTGGCTAGAAATTAATCCTAAGTTAATATCTACTATGTCAGAGCACTATGCTAAAAATCTTACATGCATCTTTCTTATTTAATTCTTGTGATAA